GAGGCTAAGGAGCAAGAGCTGTATGAGAGTATTAACGAAAAGCAAATGCTGATAGCTGAGTTACAATATTTGTACAATGAACACCGGGAAGCCACAAAGCACATGAATTTGATAATAGATGAGCTATCAAAACAGCAAAATGAAGGAGATGGTCTAATCAAGAAGTTGAAACAAGATCTGGATGATGAAAAAGAGAGAGTTCATCAACTTGAGAAGGATAAAATGGGCATAATTAAAGAGTTGCATGTACAGAAAGAAAAGTTAACTCAGAGTGCACTGAGCCTCTGTGATTTGCTTTTAACCAAGCAGAAGCTTGAAGTTAAAGTCAAAGATTTAGTAGGTCAGCTACGTCAGTCACAAAAATGTAGTTTAAACATCCAGCAGGAAAACCTGGAACTTAAGGAATACATTAGCCAAAAGGAAGAGGAACTATGTAGAGTTCAGAACGAGTTAAGATGTGCTGTTAATGAAGACTCTAATTTTAAGGACGACTTGCTTAAAGAAGGAGAAGTCGAAATTACTAACTTGAAGCAAAATCTTGCAGAAGTAGAACAGCTCAATGAAAATTTAAAGAAAGTTGCTTTTGATCTGAAAACGGAAAATGACAAGTTGATTTCAGCATGTGAAGATGTAAGGCATCAGTTGGAAGAATCTATTGCTGGTAACAACCAAATTTCTCTAGAAAAAGACACTATTATGGAGACTCTGAAAACAGAGAAAGAACAGATACAAGTAGAACTATATCAGGCCAAAAAGAGACTGTTGGAAGAGGCAAACAATTACAGGCAGACTATTCAGGAACTCTCAAATGCATGTAGTTGGAATACCTCTGCCTTACAGCTGGAACAGGAGCGTGTAGTGCAACTCCGTCAAGAGAAAGACTTTGAAATAGCAGGACTCAAGAAGAATATTGAGCAAATGGCTACTGATCAAAAAGAAACTAAGGAAATGTTGGCATCTTGTTTAGAAGAACAGAAGCAATTGATGCAACTTGTAAATGAGAAAGAATTTTTTATTGGTCACCTCAAACAAGAAAGTTCAGAATTGCAAAAGGATTTAGATAAGTGTTCTCAGGCCTTAAAACAAGATGAAACTTTAAGGCAGACCATAGAGGCAAAAGACAGAAGTCTTAGCTCCATGAAAGAAGAAAACAGACATCTGCAAGCAGAATTGGAAAGACTTAGGGAACAGCGGAATCCACTTGGAGCTGTGGCAGAGCCTCAAACCCTCGATAGTATCACAGAACTAGAATCTGAGGTATCTCAACTGAATATCATCAAGAATCATCTGGAAGAGGAAGTTACACATCATCAAAAGGTCATTGAAGATCA